AGACACCAGCTCAAAAAAAAAAAAAAAAGGAAGGGATGAGCTGCCTTGCTGACCCCAGGGTTACCCAGCACAGGGTCCGGCACACAGAGGAAGAAAGTCACTGGAGGAGGTGAGGATGATTCGTGTTAGAAAGTGTTAACACATGAGGTGATGACATCCAGGGAGGTGTCAGGTGAACAAGGATGAAGCTCACCTGGGCAAGGTGGCCCAAGGTGGAGCAGTGTATACATGGATAGGGAGAGGTGAGCGGCGGGTGATGGAGTCCAGAGTATTGCCAGAGGTCGAGGAACAGCAGTACAGTGTCACAGGAGGCTGTCTCAGGAGTACGCCATGGGCCACGCATTGCTGCCAAGGCCTATGTAAGTAGCCATAGCATGGGGAGAGGACAGGGCCTTCAGTGATGCAGGGAACACCTGGGAGAGGATGGTGGGGACAGACACTGGCTGGGTGGGAGTGAGGAGGGTAGCAGCGCCCAATGTAGTTGGAGATAATAAGAATAAGCACATTCATGAGACCAGCCTGGGCAACTCAGTGAGACCTTGTCTCTACCACAAATCACAAAAATTAGCCGGGCGGGGTAGCATGCATCTGTAGTTCCATCTACTTGGAAAGCTGAGGTGGAAGGATCGCCTAAGCCCAGCAGGTCGAGGCTGAGGTGGCCGTGAGTGTGCCACTGCACTCCAGCCTGGGCCACAGAGTGAGACTCTGACTCAAAAATAAATAAATAAATCTCAGGATAGCTGCAGGGAAGACAGACTTGTGTTGGGGGGTTGTTACTTAAAGATGGGAGAGGCGAGCCCATTTCGTAGTTAATAGGAAGGAGCCAGGCAGAGAAGAGGAAGGGGACTGGGACCCAGGCGGAGCGGGCTCCTCTGCAGCAGTGGGGAAGGCCAATGGCTGCCCTACCTCCCATATTTTTCTGTGACATAGGAGGGGCGGGGGAAAGGCTTCAGTCAGCACTTAGGAGATGCAGGGAGATCCCACAGCAGTCAGGTGGTGCCACGTCCCTAGAGGTCTGGTGGTGATATCCTTGCCTGGCTCCCTCCTGAGGCAGAGCGGGGGCTTGGTCCCTAGGGTTGGAGCTAGGGCCAGAGGCTGCTGGGGATGTTTCCCCTGGAGTGGTATTCTCCTTCAGGTACAGGCTGGAAAAAAGCAGGAAATTGAGTGCATCCAGAAGGTGGGATGCTGACAAAGGAGCCCACGGACAAGGGGTTGAGGCAGTTAAGGGATGCACATCACTCACTTGCCACTATCCTCATCACATTTAATCCTCACAACACCCCTGTGAGGTAGGTATCATCACCCCATCTTACATATGAGGAAACTAAGGCTCACACATGCCCAGGGCACACAGTTGACAGGACAGGTCTACAATTCCAATATCTGGGATCTCCTCACCCCAACCATGCCCCACCCAGGGTGGTCAGAATTCTCTTACAGTAGTAAAAAGACAGCTGCCACAGGACATCAACACACTACAAGCACACATCTCTAATCCCTGTATTTCTGGTTCAAGAGTGTTTGGGAAACACTCCGGGCTAAGTGGTTCTCTCTTACATTTCTGGAGGAAACAAAAGTGTATCGCAGTGGAGTATGTCAGTGGGTAACGCCACCAGGAGAGAGGCCATGTCAAGGGCCCAGATTGCAGGTGCTAGGTGGTTGGCTCCAAGGCTCTCTTTTCATGGAGCTGAGTCTCCATGGCTGGCACAAGAGGGCGGGGGCACTGCCTTCTCCCCATGGCACCCACAACAGATCCACAGTTGAGATCAAGCAGGGGCAAGGCCTCTGGGTTTCTTTGTTCTTCTTAGTCACCTCAGATGTTACAAATGACTTAACATTTTTTGGCTAACCTCTCCAGGAAAGGTCTTTTTGCATAAAGAGTGTCAGGACAGCATTGAGGGGCTGGAGTCTGATTTTTTTTCAGTTGAGCCTAAATAATGTTGGGAATCTGTTGTTTTGGAATTTAATACTCTCTATTTTACATTTTTCTTGTTTTCATCATGAAAGAAGGAAGTCTAGAAATAAAGACCAGAACAGAATGGCCCAGAACTTCAGTACAAAGATGTTCATGCAGATACTTTGCTGGGACACAGACAAACTATTCCAGGAAGAGGGACAGAGTTCTGAGATGAGCAGAGTGCCAGAAGGACAGAGCCCACGGTCAAGACAGTCCATGTTGTCACGCTGTGTGGTCCATGCTGATGTGCAGGGGCATGGGTTTCCTTGCCATGAAAGCCACCATCCAGAAGGGAGTGGCCATGCAAGGTCAAGGGGGACAAAAGGACGGTGGTGGGCTCAGAGCTGCCAGTTGTCCACTGGAGCCTCAAACCAGAGAGATGCAGGCTGGGGCTCAAGTGGTACCAGGCTACATGGGCTCTATGTATTCTGAGCATGAAGCAGTCAGCTCCTGGCTTCCACGGAGTTGGGAAGACCAGAACACACATGGGCTTATGTTTCCAGAGACAGTGAGAGATGGGAGGGGACAGAGAGAGATGGGAGGGGACAGAGACAGCTTTCGCATGGTGTGGCATAACTGCTTTGAAGCTAAACTTTCCAAAGAGAAGAACTGGAGCTTTTCATTCTGACTTAGACATTCTGACAGCTTGCATGGGACTCCCCTGGAGAAGCTTGGTAGCCAAAAGCAACATTCTCCTGCTCTCTGTGCGACAGCCACCTGGAGCCTCCACAGCATGCATCTGCAGTGCCCCCCAGCCCTCCCGAGTAAACATTCACTGCGGCAAACACGCTGACACTCACAGCTTCAGAAAGCCCAAGTTCATGTCTTCTTCCTCCTCTTTCTCACTGTGCATGGACAGGCTTTTCCTCTTTACCTGTTGCTGGGGAACATTGCTCTCCAGGGGACTTGGGGGACGACACTGTGAACACGATTTCTTGGCCTGATGGTGGCAGGGCTGTGTGTTTGAGTTGCTGCCCAGGGACAACCCTGAGGTAGGTCGGGACGGGCCCCCTGAGCCATCCATGGAGCTTGTGGGACTTGCACTGCTGATGGAGGAGTACCCTGAGGTCGTGATATCCTTGCCTGGCTCCCTCCTGAGGCAGAGCGGGGGCTTGGGCCCTGGGGTTGGAGGTATCTGGGCGTTCAGCACCAGGCCGTGTGGGTCCTGGTGTCCCTCGTCCTCCAGGCAGGCTTCCTCATCACTTGATTCCTGGCAGGAGTGTTGTTCTGGGTCCAGGTAGACCACGGTGACATCGAGGATGCCACTGGGAGCTGTCACTGCAGAAATGTTGGGGGAAGGTCACACCACAGCCCAGCACCAAGGGAGACCCCCTCCCCGCCATCAGGTCCCTGGCAGCCCAGACCAAATATCCTCCACCTTGCCACAGTCCCCTCTGTTGCTTTCCTTTGGGTAAGAAGCTGTGGGTGACATGCCTCTGTTGAGCTTGGAGGAGTGCCCACTGTGACTCTGAGGACGGTGAAGAAAGACAACAAACTGGCCACTTTAATTCCGAGTGGACACTAAAGCAAGCAACTGGAAAACTGACACTCGCCCAAACTGACTTCCTGGGGAGGGTATGGGGGAGGGGACCCCTGCCTGCGGGTGTGCATGGGGCACAGATCTCAGCAGGGAACTTGGCAGGGGGGCCTGTATACCATGTGAGCACATCGCAAACAACATTCTAGGAAGGTCTGATTATGGACTCCAGACAGTGTCTCTAGCTCCTGGGTCTTGATGAGGTCCTACCAACACAGACCCAGCTGGAGCTGGAGAGGTTTGGCCTAAATCCACTCCTTCCTGTGGTGTTTCAAGGGCTTTTCTACAGGGGAGGAGCTGGCCTTTCCCAGCCCTCTGCACACCCTCCTCCTCAAAGTGCTGGGCACGGGGCCAGATGCCAGGAGGCCCTCGGGGTGAGCCACCGTCTGCACAACCTCACACTCACCATCACCCTCCTTCTCGCCTTCGCTCTCCTGGTCACCCTCATAGCCAGAGCAGCAGTCCAGGCTCCAGTCCAGGAAGCTGCCCAGCAGTGTCTCCTCCTGGCTGGACAGCTCTGCGGTGGGGGTGGTGACAAAGCTGCCCCTGTTCTCCTGGAGGCTGTTCTCCCGCTTCCTGCAAGGTTGAGAGGAGCCCAGCGAACCATGGTCACAGGCGGCAGTGTCAGGAGGCCCAGCCTGGTCCTCTGCACCCCCCTAACCCCTGTCCACCCTGGTCCCCAGGTTCAGTACTGTGTGTTCGTGAAAGTTCTGCTAAGTAGAAAACATCAATGAAGCCAGAACAGGTTTAAGCCCTGGAGGTCAGGGCCTAGCCAGATGGAGGAAGGGTGACTCAGGTACAATCAGGCCCGTCTAGTCGTGAACCCTGGCCCTCCATGGTCAGTTGTGGGACCTGGGCCAACCACTTAGAGCCCCCTGGAACCTGGCAGAAGGAAGATGGCACTTTCCAGAGTGTTGATTAAATAAGGTACAGGCAGTGCTCGGCATGGGCCTGAGTCTGGGAGAAGTTGCTATAACAGGTGAGCCTTTCTGCTTCCTGACCCTAGGGCAGGCAGGGGCGGGGAAAATAGAACCACCCTACCGTTACCTGTGGGGCCCTCTCTCCTAGAAGACTTGTCAGGGCTGTGGAGGGCCTCTGGGAAGCAACTTTAACACAGGCTGGGCACACGGCTGGGCCCAGGGACCCCCACCTCCTGGAGCAGATGTGTGTATGTGTATGTGTGTATGTGGTAGACAGCCCTGTCCCTGGATATTCAGAATGCTGTCTGTAGAGTAAGGTGTAAATGGTGGCCCTATCAGGAGGGGCCCAAGTCTCCTGCATTTAGCACAGTGGAAGATGCAGTCATACTTCTCAGGAGGCAGGAGCAGCAGGGAATTAGGCTGTTTCTGTACCTACTGCTTCCTCAGGGATTTGCAAGAGTTGATGGTCCACTGCTACGGGCCCACTCCCCACAGAACACTCAAGGAGGTAGCATGGCCTGGTCCCATATTGTGACAGGGACCACCCACTCACCAAGTGCCTCAGGAAGCTCATGGGTACACACGGCACTAAGAAGTCACAGAAGCAGTGCCAGCAACATCAAGAGGGCTCTGCTTATCTGGGCTTTGCAGGATTAATAGGAGTTCTCCAGGTGGGTGAGGTGGAGAGGGGGAGTTATCCCAGGACACGGAGATAGGAGACAGGGCAAAAGGCAGACATGGGTGGTGAGGGAGGAGACAAGGGAGTGGCGCTGAGGATGCTGAATGGGAGTGACAGCAATAATGTGGGACAGAACGGCCTAGGACGGCACATGATGGACATGGGCCAGGCCAGAGGCTCAACTGTGTTCAAGATCACCTTCCTTCAAAGGGAGCCAGGTTAGACAAAGAGAGGTAGCAGCCTCTGAGAAAGGAGCACGGGGCTGGAGGCTGAGGTGGAGCCAGGCTGAGGCCAGACTGCCTGGCTCACTCGTAGCTGCAATTCATGTGGGGTCTGCTGCTTCTCCCCGAGGAGCCCAGAAGCCTCGCCCTCCATTCATGAGGGCTTCAGGCTGGCACATGGACCAACATCCACTGCAGCCTTGACACAGGCCTTGCTCACCGTTTGGTCCTTCTTCCAGAGGGAGAGCTGAGGAAGGCGTGGATCTCCCCTGTGCTGAGGAAGGACGGCGGGTCTGGGCTCTCCTGTTTTACTCCTAACGCTGCACACAACTGGCTGTAGCTTAGCACCTGAGGGAACGCCAGAGTCAGCGGGGTGGAGAGGCACTGAGCGGGAGGCCCATCCTCACCCAGCGAGATGCCCAGGTGACCAGGGAGGGGAGGCACCTCTTCCTTTGGCCATCCCCACTCCGGTACCCCAGTGAGATGCCCAGGTAACCAGGGAAGGGGAGGCACCTCTTCCTGGCTGATTTCTTCATAGCGCTTGTCCTCAAATCGCTGCTTTACAGCCATCAGTGAGACTTGCCTATAGTCCTTGGGGGTGTCATCGTGGAAGCTGGAAACGGACATGTAGGGTGGACACGTGAGGGACTCCACCCCATTTAGCCTCAACTCACTGAAGTGGGAAGGGACAGCATGCTTTCAAAACAGCCCGGGGTGAGAATGCAACATGGCACAGTCACTATGGAAAATAGTCTGGCAGTTCCTAAAGTGGTTAAACATAGAACTACCCCAGGACCCAGCAATTCTCCTCAGGTATAGACCCAAGAGACATGAAAACCTACGTTCACACAGAAATCTGTACAAGATTGTTCAAAGTAGAATTATTCACAATAGCCAAAAGGCGGACACAGTACAAATGTCCCCCAGTGGATGGGTAGATAAACAAAATGTAGTCTAGCCACACTATGGAATATTACTCAGCCATAAAAAAAGGAATGAAGCACTGACACATACTACAACACGGATGGACCTTGAAGACATGCTAAATGAAAGAAGCTTGGCACAAAAGAATGCATATTGCATGATTCTGTTCACATAAAATGTCCAGAATAGGCAAATCCATAGAGACTGAAAGCAGATTAGTGGTTTTGTCTAGGGCTAAGGAAGTTGGGAGAATTGGAGGGTATGGGATTTCTTGTGTGGGTACTGAAAATTTTCTAAATTTGATTGTTGTGATGTCTCTGTGAATATACTAAAATAAACTCTGTGAATATACTAAAAGCCTGTTTTTGTTTTTGTTTTTGAGTGAAAGTCTCAATGTTGTCCAGGTCATGCTCATGGCCATCACTGCCTCAACCTGCTGGGCTCAGGCGAGCCTTCCACCTCAGCCTTCCAAGTAGCTGGAACTACAGGCATGTGCCACCACACCCGGCTTATTTTTTTATTTATTGTAGAGATGAGGTCTTGCCAAGGCACCCAGGCTGATCTTGAACTGTGGGCTGAGGCAATCCTCTTGCCTCTGCCTCCCAAAATGCTGGGATTACAAGTGTGAGCCACCGTGCTGGGCCGAAAAGCCTGCTAAGTCGTATAGTTAAAGGAAATTTAGTATGTAAAAAAAATGTTTCCAATTTATCTGGACTGAAAAAAAAACTTCTTCAGGGGAAAAAGAATAAACAGCCCAACAACTTCTGGTAGCCAGTGTCAGATGACAATTTGTGCTCCTATTATGATCAAAAGTGGGGCTGGATACACACTGCCCCTTTGATTATCACCCTCATTCCTTATCCAGCAGGTATAGGGTCCAGCACTGCAAAAGAAAACAGTGTGGGTAAAAGCCATGCCAAATTGTGGGAGATGCTGGCAGGTTTCCATGCTGGAGCACAGCCGGGAGGGAAAGAAACAGCAAATGGGCAGGAGCAGGGGCTGGTCAAAGGGATTGAGAGAACTCTGGAGGGTGCTGCTCTTATTCTGAAGTTGGAGAGGGAGGTCCTGGGTTGGCATTAGCGGAAGGGATATGCTCAGGGGTAGCTGCCATGGTATTCCAGGTTCAGCCAGGGGAGGTCAGAGAGGACCAGACGCCAAGATGTGTGAGTGTGTGAGGAAACTGCATCAGACCTGAGGGTCATCAGCCTGCAGGATGGAGAAGCAGAAACAGACTGGCCGAGGCCTCTGCTATGGTGACCGGCCTCGTCCACCACAACTGGCTTAGTCATGCTGCCTCAGGCTCGGATCAGAGGTCAAGGTTAAGATGTGGTCTGAGCCGGGCTCGGTGGCTCAGCCTGTAATGCTGCACCTTTGGGAGGCTGAGGTGAGTGGACTGCCTGAGACTGCGGGTTCGAGACCTACCTGGGCAGCGAGACCTCATTTCTACAATAAATCAAAAAATCAGCCGGGCGTGGTAGTACATGCCTGTAATTCCGGTTACTTGGAAGGCTGAGGCGGAAGGATCGCCAGAGCCCAGCAGGTCGAGGCTGCGGTGGCCGGGAGTGGCCACTGCATTCCAGTCTGGGCGACAGAGTGAGACTCCAACTCAAAAAAAAAAAAGATGTTATCTGAATCTTGGAAGTGGTTATGTCTCCCAGGGAGAGTCTGAGGAGTGGCAGAAGACCAGAATTACCTGGCCTCTTGGGGTTGAGAGACCAACACTGAGGCCACATGGCCTGGAGAGGGACACCGAGGTACCCCAGGGAGGAAGGGGTTGGCACACTGTGGGCTGGAGAAAGGTCCGGGGGATTTGGCCAGGGGAGGTCACGGTGGGAGGCCAGGGAGACAGGCACCGAGAAGTGGGAGGCACAAGTCTGTGCAGAAGCTGAGGAGGGAAGAGATGGCCAAGGGGGCTGCAAGCTCAGCCCATGTGTGTCCTCTGCGCCCCTCCTCATCCTGACTTTCTACTCACAGCCACCAGCCTGGGCTGGTCTGCTCTAAGGCCCTAGTATGGCTTTCCTCTTTGCCTGGGACCCAGATGCCACCCCGCTCCATCTCGTCTGCCTATGCCTGCTTTCTTTCTCTCCTGCTCTGGCACTACTTGACACCCGTATTCATCTCTGTTGTCCTGGCCTCTACCCAGTGCCTGGTCCATGGCAGGGGCCCCATGAACTGCTTGTAATGAACCAACACAGGCTGACAGAAGCCACCCAGGAGGGTGAAGGTGCTCAGATGGGGTGAGGGCTAGAGCAGGCACAGGGGCAGGTGGCAGGAAGCCCAGCCAGGGGTGGGATGGGGCACAGAGAAGCACGATGGGCTTGGGTGGTGAGGGGCCCCTCGCCTGATGGCTCCATCTTCTCAATGAGACAGAGGTTCTGTCTACCCCAGCAGCAACCTCAGAGGCAGCAGCCTATTGCCAGAAAAGGGAAAGCAGTACATATTTCCAGCTCTGTCATGTGGTCTCGCTGCAACCATGACACTCAGCCCTTGTAGCCCACAAGTAGTCACAGAAAAGATGGAAACCAAGGAGTGTGCCAATAAAACCTCACTTATGGAAACAGGTGGTGGGCCACATTTGGCCCAGGGGCCTCTGTGCCCACGCCTGAGCGAGACAATTTGTCCTATGCTGAAATTACCACGAGTCAGGGAGATGGCCTCATTTTTTCTACCATGTTCTGCTGCCTATGGAATGAGGTGTGGGTCAGGAGGAACTGCTGAACACATCATATGTGAAAAAAGTGTGAAACGGGAAATGCAGCCCTGGAGTTGTAACACGCCAGCTCTGAGGAAGGCGTCTTGCAAGAAACCCACTGTGGGGAGATGTGTGTGTGTTGACTGACAGTGTCATAGGAGGAAGTCAATGCCCTCAATGGCACTCCGTCCTACCCACTCTGGCCAAGTCTGGTCAGAGAACTCACTTCCTTTATACACTCACCATTTTTTATGAAGGCTCAGGACACATGGCAGGAGGTCTTCGTAGGAGAAGCCGGTGAGGTCCCACAGCTGAGTGGTCCAGGATTGTGCTGAGAAGGAAAGCAGATCAGGGATGCAGGGGCTGTTGTGACAGAAGTCCTGCCACTACTGCCCCACAACTCTGGCAGTTCTGGTATGGAGCTTCCTGAAGCTCAGGGTTGGAATTCTCTTAAAATGGCTTTTAAAAGACTCCACATAGAGAGCACGCACAATCGCGGTCAGAAATCTGGGAAACATTTAAGTGAGAGCTGTCTCTTTCCTTACCACCCACCCCACCAACCCCCACAGAGAACTAACCCTCCAGTGCATTCCCTTCTCCAAGATAGATGGACACAGGTTTTTACTCCCAACATCCCCCTTCTACTGGAGCATTTCCCCTGATACCAGGAATCCCCCAGGGAAGGGCCACTTCTTACTCTGCCCATGTGTCAACCTGGCCAGGAGCAGGGCTGCAGCAGCCAGGCGGGCCGGGGCATAGGTAGACAAGCTAGTGTGCAGCAGGGAGAGTTCACAGAGGAAGCTGCACAGGTGCTGGGTTCTTGGTGCCACGGGGACCAGCGTCAGCAGAACCTCCTTGTAATCAACCACAGTGGGGACCTAGGTAGACAGGAGGCAGGCATGGGATCTTAGCACTCAGAGGGTCCCTCCAAACCATGCAGTGTCATGCTGTGGCATGGGTCAGCACAAGGTCTGGCCTGGATGACATTCACACAGATGCCCTAATTCAGGGCCCCAGGGTGTACGATGATGTGACGTAGCCACAGCCTCTTGCTCTGTGGCTTTGGGCATGGCAGAGACAGCTGCCCTCTGGGTGTACGAGATCCTTCCAGAGTGGGACAGCTGGATGCCCACTGCTCCTCCTGTCCCTCTCATGCCCTCCAACACAGTGACAACTGTGATTAACAAGGGCAAAAAAACCACCACTTACTCGAATCTTCCCTTCCAGGGCAGAGACGATCTCGCCCATCATTCTCACTAGGTCCTCATACTTGTACGTGTTGTCCGTGAGCCACACAGCCTCTCGGATCGTCAGGATCTCTTTACTGATGAACCTGGAACATTGAGAAGGGGTCTCAGCATGGAGCCCACTTGCTGAGGCGGAAGTGGGGCTTAGGAGGCCTGGGGCTCTTGAAGGTTTCAAGGTAAGCAGGGAGTGACGGCTTTAGCTTTGGTGACAAAACAAGGTTACACAATGGACCCAGCTGCCTATAGCCAATGAGGGGAATAAAAAGGGGAGGCCGAGGTGGGAGGATCGCTTGAGACCAGGAGGTCAAGACCAGCCTCAGTAACATAGCAAGATATAATCTCTACAAAAATAAAAGACATAGCCAGGCAAGTTGACACACATCTGTAGTCCCAGCTACTCAGGAGGCTGAGGCAGGAGGATCCCTTGAGCCTACAAGTCAGAGCCTGCAGTGAGCTATGATCATGCCACTGCATTCCATGCATTCTAGAACCCTGGGCGACAGAGTAAGACCTAGTCTCTAAAACAACAACAACAAAGGGAAGGAGGTCAGAAGGTACTGGATAGAGGAATTAGAGCTACAAGGCAGAGACAGAGTTAGAGTGGCAGGGCCAGCCAGGCACAGCGGCTCAAGCCTGTAATCTCAGCACTTTGGGAAGTGGAGGTGAGAAGACTGCCTGAGTCCAGGGGTTCGAGACCAGCCTGGGCAACTTGGCAAGACTTCATCTCTACAATAAATTAAAAAATTTGCCAAGCATGGTGGTGCACGCCTGAAGTTCCAGCTACTTGGAAGGCTAAGGCAGAGGGATCCTCTGAGCCCAGGATCCTCTCAGCAAACAGTCCCTGAAGGTGCCTTTCCCTTGGACTAGGACCATTCTATTTGCTGCTCTGTCCTGAGAACTCTGCAGTTTTTATATTAGCTTGACAAGGGGGACAGGAACACAGGGACCACATCTGCAGGCACAAGACTGCAGATGCCAAAAAGATGAGATGCAAGCTGGCCCTGTGCTGGAGACCAAGATGGCCAGTGTGGAGCAGGACATGTACTGCTCTAAGAGCTCGGGTGGGGGCATCTCAGCCTTTTGTTTGAGTCAAGGTCTCACTCTGTCACCTAGGCTGGGGTGCAGAGGCTCAAAGCTGCCTCGAACTCGTGGGCTTGGGTAATCCTTCCACCTCAGTCTCCCAAGTAGCTGGGACTACAAGCACACGTCACCATGCCAGGCTAATTTTTATTTTTTTGCAGGGACAGTGTCTTGCTATGTTGCCCAGGCTGGTCTTGAACTCCTGGCCTCAAACAATTCTCCCATCTGAGCCTCCCAAGGTGTTAGGATTACCGGCATGAGCCACTGCACCTGGCCTAAAACCATTTTTCCTAAAGATAGTGTCAGACTTTATTCAAGGGCACGGTCTCTGCCGAGGCATCTGTAGGGGATGTGAGACCCTCTAACTCCAGGATAGTTGGTAACTCCGGTGACAAGACTTGAGAACTCGACCTCAGAGAGGTACAGCAACTGTGACTGTGCCTGCTAGAGTGATGCCACACTCTGGGCCCTAAGACTACATGCCAGGACAAGCTGCCTGGACATAGGCGTCCTGCAGAGTGGCCACCTACACACTCAGCTCCACACTCCATGGTCTAACCAGGTGGGTGGGACACATACAATTTATGTCAGTCAAGAACGAGCGACAGACACGTAAAGTACGGGTGCCCCAAGAGCCTGGGAAAGGCCAGCACATCCCTGCTCTCCAGGTCACAGGGAAATTCTCACCGGGTGCAGATGACCATACAGGCAATGCCTAGCAGTTGGAGTCTGTACCGGGGCACCAGTCTCCTCCGCAGGTACCGGTCCACACATTCCACAGTTAGGTGAAGGCACAGGCTCGTGAAGTCCTTCATGGTGGCGACTTCCACCAGCCAGTCGATCAGAATGTACCTGTGGAAAGAGCACCACCCCTGAAAACGAGGGCATGTGTTCTCAAAGTGTCCCTGTCTCCAATTTCTGCCTGGGCCTGGCTGGGCCAACCAAATGAACTGGCTATTAGCGGAACTGTTGGCGGAACCCAGGCTGGAGACACCATGTTGCAGGAAGCTGGGGAGCCCTGTGGGTCCCAGCCCCCAAAGCATGCCCCACGTCCCTCGACTGTTCCTGGGAGGCTGCTGGGCTCACACTGCTCTGCACTCGGCCTCCCTTCCCAGGCCCACACGTTCCCAGTGCTCCCAAATGCAAGCACTTTGGGGTTTCATCTTAGCACAAAGTGAAGTCAGCCCTCAGTTTCTCACGGCACAGGATGAACCCTGACCCTCAGGGCCTGCAGGTAGTGGGGAAGGTAGGTTGTGCACTAGGGCTGGGGTTGGACCACAGGCCCCAGGTCAACAGAAAAGTCACTCAAAGGTAGACAGAACTTTGATTCTTCTGCAAACCTGAACTCCCCTGTGGGACAGCTCACTCATCTGGGTCACTGCTCACAGTGCTCTGCAACGGAGCAGAATCAGGCCCCCAGCTAAAGCAAGAGCCACCAGGCCCATGCATGGAGCTCTCATCTTCACTTACCCAGAAACCTGCTTGACTGTTAGAGGGGTGACAGACAAGGTCTCAGTCCACAAGGGGGCTGAGGAGAAGGGGAGGAGCAGATAAGCCTCTATTTTCCTCCAGAATGAAGAGCATGCAAGGCTCAAGTGTTTAAGGTTTAAACTGGACACTACTGTGAACAGACTAGAAAGCGCCCTGAAGCAGATGGATATAACAAGCTTAATGATCTGATTTCTAAAATAGACTAAATAGGCCAATGTTTTTGTTTGCCTGTTTGTTTTTTGAGTCATAGTTTCACTTTGTCGCCCAGGCTGGAGTGCAGTGGCATGCTCATGGAACACTGCAGCTTTGATCTGCTGGGCTCAGGTGACCTGTCCGCCTCAGCCTTCCAGGTAGCTGGAGTTATAGGCATGTGCCACCACGCTCAGCTAATTTTTTTATTTATTGTAGAGATAAGTTCTCTCCAAGTTGTCCACGCTGGTCTCAAACCCCTGGGCTCAGACAATCCTCTCGTCTCCGCCTCCCAAAGTGCAGGCTTTATACACACTGTTACTGTGCCCAGCCAAAATAGACCAATGAGTCAATGAATTGTAGACTTTAAATTGGTTAAACTTATGTAAAAATAGATAACCTACACACATAAAATGAATAGCAACAGTAAAAAGCAAAAAAAAACAAAAACAAAAAAGCAGACAGACTAAGAGGGTTAGAAGGTATTATCAAGGCTGGGCGCAGTGGCTCATGTCTATAATCCCAGCAGTTTGGGAGGCCGAGGTGAGAGGATTGCCTGAGCCTGCAGGTTCGAGACCAGTCTGGACAACTTGGCGAGACCTCATCTCTACAATAAATCAAAAAATAAGCCGGGCATGGTGGCGCGTGCCGGTAGTTCCAGCTACTTAGAAGGCTGAGGCAGAAGGATCGTTTGAGCCCAGCAGGTTATGGCTGCGGTGGTTGGGAGCGTGCCTCTGCCCTCCAGCCTGGGTGACAGAGTGAGACTCCAACTCAAAAAAGGTGTTATTAGCATATTCCTTCCAACAGAAAGCAGGAAGGGCTGAAAGGGAAGGATATAGGGTGGGACTGCCACTCCACAGGCATAGGACACAGAAGCACTCCAGCTGGGTGCCATTTAACATGGGGGTAATGGGGTCAGCCTCCCTGAGGCTGTGTGTGTGAGTGAATGTGTGAGTGACAGATCAAGCCTCTGGGGTGGGGGGAACGATCACTTTTATTTATTTAAAATTTTGAGCCGAGGCGAGTGGATTGCCTGAGCCCATGGGCTCGAGACCAGTCCAGGCAACTTGGTGAGACCTCGTCTCTACAATAAAAAAAAAAAAAAAAAAAAAAATTGCCGGGCATGGTAGCACACATGCCTGTAGTTCCGGCTACTTGGAAGATTGACGCCGGGGTGGCTATGAGCATGCCACTGCACTCCAGCCTGGGCAACAGAGTGAGACTCCAACTCAAAAAAAAATCTTTTTGTTTCTTTTTCTTTATTTGATCATTTTCTAAATCTGTGAACATTTACTGAGCACTTGAGTACTTACTATGTGCTTGGTATTGTTTGCTGGAAGGGTAGCCAGAGGCTGCCCATTGTAAATCCAAATTGTATCATGTGTAAGCTTGAGGAATTAGTCACATTTTCCATTTTACTCTTTAACGTGTTCTGTGACCTAGTGTAAAAGCTGGTTATCTCCAAACCTCAGAGGAAAATGGACCCACAGGAAGATGCAGGTCACAATGGAGTGTCACAGCAGCTGTCCCAGAGAGCAGGGCTCCGCAGGGCTCCCGACGGCCACTGACTTCCACACAACACCCTGATGCTTGCAAAGACGGGTCATAGAGAAGACTGTGTTTTGGCTTCAGATATGAATTCTACCGTTTTAGAAAGACGCTTAAAGCAGTTCAACACATTCTGTGGCACAAGAAAAGAAAACTGGAGAGACTGGAAGAGGGTATTTTCTTCCTCAAAATCCTGGATAACTTAGGTATTACTGGTTTTAGAAAGCATGTGTACACGCAAGCACACACACACAAAAATGAGGGAGCTGGTGGGTTGATTACAGAATATCACACTGCCCCGTGACAGGGGATTTAGGTTAAGCAGAAACAGTCCCCTTTGCCCGAAGGTTGGCTGTCACTCTGCCAGCTGATCAGAAGCTCTGGCTCACATGCCTCACCTCATTGTATCGTTGAGTCCCTTCTGCACAGAGAAGACCTGCTGCTTACTGACGGCTTGGGAAGCCTGGAATAGCTGGCAGACTATCTCAGTGGAGGTTTTTGCTTCTAGTCCAAGCTGGTTTCCATTTGCACAGGCTTTGGCTAATGACAGCTGAGGAAGGAAAGACCATGAAAATGAGAAAGAGGCAGCAGCCATTCTGGGACTTTCCATTTCCAAAGCAAAGGTCCATCCAGGTAGAAAACATCTATTTATATACTTTCTAAGTAACCCTTCTCAACATTCTGGAACAAGTATGGCTAACATTTTTAACTCTTCTTCTTTTTTGAATAAATAGCCTAGGCAACATGGTGAGACGTCATCTCTACAAAAAATTATCTGGGCATGGTGGTTCATGTCTGTAGTCTCAGCTATTTGGGAGGTTGAGGTGGGAGGGTCACCTGAGCCCAGGTGGTTAAGGATGTGGGTGATCTATGATCATGCCATTGCACTTCAGCCTGGGTGACAGAGTAAGACTCTGACTCTAAAAAAAAATAAAAAATAGTGAGACCCTGATAGAAGTTGAAAGCCTTAGTAGATTCTCAAGTAAGAGGGAATAAATTCAACTAGTTAAAACCTGCTGGGCTCAGGCGATCCTACCACCTCAGCCTTTCAAGTAGCCGGAACTACAGGCGCACAGTACCATGCCCAGATAATTTCTTGATACATTGTAGAGACAAGGTCTCACCAAGTTGTCCAGGTTGATCTTGAACCCCTGGGCTCAGGTAATCCTCTCTCCATGGCCTCCTAAAGTGCTGAGATTACAGGCTTGAGCCACCACACCCGGCCCTCACTATTCTAACTGATTACCCTGAACTTCTAATAGAACTACATTGTTATATTTCTTGTAAATTTACTGACGTCTTCTCAGACATGGACCCCATGATATTCTGACACATCTGGCTAGACCATCTACTGGTTTGTGATTTCTTCCCTAGTGTTTGAGCATGGATGACACTCTGCTACCCACTTGGCAGGGCAACAACAATGAGTTTCTCCCCACTTGGCAAAAGGGGGCTTTCTTTGGTTTGTTTTAATGAAAGACTTCTTTACAGCAGCAAGGGGAGAGAGTATAGTGAACAACTACTACAAATCCTGGACTTTCTGGTTCTAGCACAGATGACTTGGTGAGCAAATCACATGACAGGCAAGGGGCTAGCAAGCACTGGAGAGCGTGCCACATACCCCTCTGCTCTCAAACAGCCTCAAGTTTCATTGTCAAGATAAGTTTGACTTATAGCACTATTTTCATGAGTGGTGTGAATTCTGACTGTAGGTGTAGCCCATAAGCACTTAAAGATGAGAAGGCTGGCTGCTTTAGAGGCAAGGGAGGATGGCAGAGAGAGTGAAGCATTTCCAGGCTCTTCACCCTGTGCACCCAAGAGTTAAACTCCTTTACGATCTGGCTCTAGTGCTAGACAGATCTTTTTTTTTTTTTTAAGTCAGAGTCTCACTCTGTTGCCCAGGCTGGAGTGCAGTGACACGCTCGATGGCCACCACAGCCTCGACCTACTGGGCTCAAGTGACCCTTCTGCCTCAGCCTTCCAAATAGCTGGAACCACAGGCATGTGCCACCACGCCCAGCTAATTTTTTTTTTTTAATTTATTGTAGAGACAAGGTCTCACCATGTTGCTCAGGCTGGTCTAGAACCCCTAAGCTCAGGCAAGCCTCTTGCCTACGCCTCCCAAAACGCTGGGATTACAGGCTTGAGCCACATGCCCAATCCTAGACGGATCTTATTGTATCCCACAGTCCCGACTTCCAGTGTCAGAGCCCAGGAAGTCTTGCACCAAGGTTAAAAAAGGCCAGCCCCCCATGTCATCCTGCTCCCCACATCACTCCAGTCTCCCATGTTACCTGTGCTTCCCAGCAGCCTTTGGCAGCATAGTCCCTGAGTTTCCGGAAGCTGTGGAGGCATCGTCCAGGATCTGACATCTGTCAATGAAAAATCACTGTTTTTTTTCCTGAGTCAGGGCCTCACTCTGTTGCCCAGGTTGGAGTGCAGTGGCATCATAGCTCACTACAGTCAGGCTCCTGGGCTTAGGCAAGCAACTCGTTCTCCTCAGCCTCCCAAGTAGCTGGGACTACAGGCATATGCCACCACACTAGACTAATTTTTAAATTTTTTTATAGAGATGAGGTCTCACTATGTTTCCCAGGCTGGTATTGAACTCCTGGGCTCAAGCAATATTCCCACCTTGACCTCCCAGGGTGCTGGGATTATAGGTGTGAGCCACCATGCCCGGCCTACTGCGTCGTTATATGGTTGTATGCAAGTTCTTCTTGGGAAACCTTAGCACCAAAGCCCAGAAGGTCCCTGACTATCTAGCTCTCTATCTTTTATGCCCCAAATGATGGTGTCATTTTTGGGGGCACCAACAGCTGCTGGCTGACCAGTGGCTCCCAGGACTGAAAGGCCAGGAGCTGTAAGAGGATCCTCCCTTTTGCTGATGGAACCTCATCCAAGGGCCAGTTTAGAGACCATGCCTTCGGCCAATGTCATTCCTCCTCTCCCCAACTAGGTCCACTCACATCTGTACTCCTTTCACTTTCCCAAAGAAGGTACGAGCTGGTCAGACATCCCTGATTAGCGGACTCTTCAAACAGGTCATGGGCCTGCTGCTTCTTATCTTCATCCTGGAATAAGTTCAAGCACAGTTGATTTTTTTTTTAAGAGACTGGGTCTTGCTCTCTCACTCAGGATGGAGTACAGTGGCATGATCACAGCTCACTGCAGCCTCAAGCTTTTGAGCTCATGCGATCCTCCTGCTTTGGCCTCCCGAGTAGCTAGCTGAGACTATAGGCAAGTGCCACTATGCTTGGCTGATTTTTTTTTTTTTTTTGAATTGGAGTCTCTCTCTGATGCCCAGGATGGGGTGCAGTGGCATGCTCACGGCCACTGCAGCCTCGACCTGCTGGGCTTAGGTGATCCTTCCACCTCAGCCTTCCAAGTGGCTGGAACTACAGGCATGTGCCATCATGCTCAGCTAATTTTTGTTGATTTATTGTAGAGATGAGATTTCGCCAAGTTGCCCAGGCTGGTCTCGAACCCGTGGGCTCAGGCAATCCTCTCACCTTGGTTTCCCAATGTGCTGGGATTATAGGCTTGAGCCACCGCGCCTGGCCTTGGCTGATTTTTTAATTTTTTTTTTGTAGAGACAGGGTCTTGCTGTGTTGCCCAGGCTGGTCTCAAACTCCTGGGCTTTCAAAGTACTAGGATTACAGGTATAAGCCACCACACCCAGTCACAGTTGATTCTTACTCCTTATTTAACAGTAGATTATTCTACTAACCATTCTCTTCCCTCTCCACACTCCTAAATAATCACACGCACGCCTCTTGTATTTGATAGCATGAATTAACTAAATCAGAGTGGAAATGACTTTTCTAAAGATATACCATTCGACAACTAATGAGGAGTGTGAACTCAGAGCTGGGGCTGCAGAGGCCTTTCTTTCCTCTGGGATGAGGTTTGTGTTTGGGCTGGGCCTGTGGGATCCCCAGCTTGGTTTTGAGCCACTCAAGGGCCTGTTCTTCACACCTGCTGCCAAAGGAACCACCCTGAACTGCCTGGACAGTGCCAGAGGCTCTTGGAACTTTTCCTCTCAGCATTCCTCTCTGATGCTTTCGCCATGCTGGTTACTAGAAGCCACTACTGTTTCTAAATTTGCTGCAAAAGGGGTTCACTCATCACAAAGCACACTGGGACATCAAGAGTAGAAAGTTCTGTGTGAATGGCAGGAGAGGACCACCATAGCAGAGCTGTTAGACAAGTAAGCTGGCACCATTTGTTCAGTTGCTCCTGCAATCTACATGGCAATTCTCACTATCATCCAGGAGCCAAGCCATAGAACTCAGTCTCACATGTAGTAAGGGTGGAGCCAGGATCTGAGCGTGTGGCCTGGGTCACATACCACCTAGCTCTAAGAGGCCCCTCCTGGCAGGACTTGGCTTTTGCTTTGGGCCCCAGACACCCAATTTTTTTTTTGAGTCAGAGTCTCACTCTGTCACCCAGGCTAGAGGGTAGTGGCATGCTCACGGTCACTGTAGTCTCAAACTGCTGGATTCAGGCGATCCTTCCACCTCAGCCTTTCAAGTAGCTGGAACTATAGGTGTGCGCCACCATGCCAGGTTAATTTTTTAATTTATTATAGAGATGAGATCTCACCATGTTGCCCAGGCTGATCTCGAACCCATGGGCTCAGGCAACCTGCTACTCTTCATGTACTTCCTGGATATCAGCCAGCGATATTTCTAGCAGTGCCAAGTCCAAGTGTAGTGAACAACGCACTCACCTCAAAAAGACTTAGCACTCTGCCCAAGCAATGCAGTATGGATGCTCTGTGACTCTTTAAAAAAGAGAGAGAAAGTGTGATTACCAGCAGAGAGAACTGCCAGGGAGCTGCCCTTCCCCAGTCTATGTGTCCTCGGTCAGTGCTCATGGTCCTGCTATCTGGCCTCCTGCCCTGCAGAGGACCACTCCTCGATTTTAGTCTTCAGCTCTAACTACTGTACACAGCCTCAGGCCTTGTGTTTCTAGCTGTCAGCACATCTCCCCAGAGCCCTGCAGTCCACCCTGGTTCTACAGCCTCCTTTTCTCCTACCAGGTCTCCCATATCTGCACTCTCAATTTTCTGCTCCTCCACTTCCCTCTGGTTCCTGACTTCCCATGGTCACCAGGGCCTACCCTCAGGGTTTGTCTGTGACCCAGGGTCCAGCAGGTAGACTCACAGGTGCTGCCCTCTCACCAGGACTCACTCTCTGCAGCTGGCACTCTGCCCTGAGGCTCTCGTGAACCACGGCCTTGCAGCAGCTTCCAGACACTGACCACGGTGGGCGGATGAAGAGCCAGATGAAGGGTGCGGCACCCATGTTCAGGCGCTCAGCGAGACTGAAGAAGCAAGAGGCCTTCAGGCCATTTACTTCTGCACGGGCCTCGTCAGACACAGACACTGTGGGATGGACAGAGCAGAATCCTGGGATATCTCTCAGGGATGAAAAGTGGAAAGTTCTCCACAGTCTTTTCTGGAAAGTCTAAAACCTTAAGGCCACCACAGTGCAAAATTGCTGGTGTTTTAGAGGACAAGGGCCCTCCAGGATAGCGGCTTCTTCCTCTTCTACCCCTACTTTGTTAAGGTCTAGAATGGGCAGGTTTTGATGCCCCTGCTAGGGTCTTCCCAGAAGCCCAGATTCTGAAGGTCAGGGGAAGGAGTGCCCCATAGAGGCTTCATGCCCCAACCTCCCTCCAGCTGGGAAACACGGCCTGCCCCTGCTAATGAGTCTGGGGTGGAGGTTCTTTTGGGGACAAGAATGTTCTAAAATTAGACAGTGGCAATGGTTGCACACTGAATGTACTAAAAACCATGGAATCACACACTTTAGATGGATGAATTGTATGGTGTGTGAATTATGTCTGCAAAGTGCTCTGGAAGGGAGGGAGATGGCAGGACCTCGGCTCTTCTAAGCCTGGAGGAAGGGTGACCTCATAGTCTCTCGGTCGCAACAATCCTGTCAGTTGGCCAAGGGCAGGGACTACCTCCTAGCAAGACACCAGATCTTTTAGAAGTAGGAACACATAATGGGCTACACCCATCTTTATGTGTTTTGGGAGTTGATATTAGACCATGGGTTCAACCTTTGGGGTGCTAAGCAGAAAAGCAGGAATTAGTAGAAGGAAAGGCTGCATGAGGCTCATTCAAGGAGCACCCGGTCTTTGGGGAAGAAGGAATCCAGGCACCAGGCCAGTTCTGACCTGCTTGTACCTGCTTCATACCTGTGTTACTGACACCCTGTGGAATTAGGCAGTTGACCTCTGCCCCAGAGTTCCACAGAGGATGGCCAAGGAGAGGAACTGACGTGTATCCATGGGCTTCAGTGATAACTGGACAGAGGGCAGGATCCAAGTAGCCCCCTCCTGAGTCTCTAGCTCAGACCCATGCTTTGTCAACCAAAATTATAGGGTTTGCTAAAAAAAGAGGTGACTCTGCATAACCTACAGTCAGAACATGACCAATGAGTCCCTCAGCAGGATACATCTGGGCATAAGTTCCTGAGCAGGGACAGGAAGGCAGACCATCAGATATGGCAAGAACAGCAGCTGAACTGCTAACACCGGGAGTGTCTGTCGACAGGGTCAAAGGCTCATGCTTATCTAAAGGGTAATCACCCAAGTGGGATGAGGACTTACGGCCTTCATTGTAGAGGTAGGCTATGCCCAGCTTCACAGCAGCTTCAAAATTTCCCTTTTCAGCAGCCCTAAAACATTAGGAACATAAAACATCACACTATTTGATGCCACAAAAGTTATGAAGCACACAGCACTCGAATACAGTATCTATTTTCTGAATAGAAACTTTTTGTAAAGAAATATAGCCAAATACGAATTATCTATCACATGCTATGACACAGGTGATCCTTGAAAACATCAGGACCCATGAAAGAAGCCAGTCATAAAAGGTCACATATTATATGATTCCATATGAAATGTTCAGAATAGGCAAAACCACAGAGATAGAAAACTGATTAGGAGTTGCCAAGGGTTTCAGGAATTGTGGAGTGACTACTAATGAGTACAGAGTTCTTTCTTTGAATAATGATAATGTCCTCAAAATAGAGAGTGGTGACGTTTGCACAACTCTGAATATACTAAGAACCAATGAGCATATGGGTGAATTGTATGGTGTGTATGATTATGTCTCAATAAGAAATACATACATTTTATCAAGAAGCAGCTCAAACGTGGACAAGGCAACATGGCCGTCCTACACTTGTTGGCCATCTTTCTGGATTTCTGGCAACTCAGGTGAATGAGGGCCAGAGTGAACCCCAGTCAGGAAAATCCCCTTCCAAACTGTGGGTTTCTTAGTTTGTTAAATGAAGAAGTCCAAGCTGAGTCTGGTCCCAGGAGCGGCCTGCCTAGGACCATCTGCACACCCGGACGGTGGACTGGTTGGGGGCCTACAGGTCCCAGGCCTGGGGTGGGATCAGCCAGGGAGTGAAAAGCTGTAGGACTGAAATCACATGGCTTTGACCAAAGGAAAAGAAGGTTGAGTGAAGTTTCCACAGGAAAGTGACTTGCATAGGGTCATGTGGGAATGGGTCATAGCCCAAGGGCGACCCTCTGGAGGCATAGTAGGCCTGAGTCAGTGGTATAGAGAGGATGACCGATGACACAGCCTGCTGAAAGTCGTGTTGCTCAGTAGGTGAGGTCTACAGTCCCAGTCACTTGCCAGGGGATGAAGCAATGCCATGGGACACAGCAGCAGGGTAGCAGGAAAATTGTTACTGAACCAGGTCTTGGGACACGGGCTGGTATACCAGGAGGCCCAAAAGCAGGAGAAAACTGAGCTGTTCAAGGGAGCAAAGATACCTTTCAAAAAGCTTCAGGTTCTTTGGAGAAGGCCACAGCTCCTGGAAACTGGCACATGCCCACACACTGGCATGGTTGTCCACCAGGTACTTCAGGTGGGAATGCACCTACAGAACAATGGAAGCCAGGGGTACATTACTGAGGGATCACCTGTAAGCCCCATTCCTGAAGGTTTTTGAAGACAGGACATAGACATAGGGTGGTCTCCTGTCTTTCTCCTGATCCCAAGTAGCAAAGGACACCAGTCTCTGTGTATAAAAGTAATAGTTGCTTTGAATAGAGAAAAGAGCCTAGAAACGAGTTTCTCTGAGGTTCTAAAGGGGGTTGGGGGACAATGGTCCTAGAAGGGAGAAACAAGCACCCAGGTTGAGAAAGCGGTGCCAACACTTCTGCAGAGGTATATGCCAGCAAGGGTTGGGGAAACTCAACCTAAATGGGGGAAAACAGGGCAGGGCAGAAATCTGCTTTGTGCTTCTCGACCTGGAACCTGCTAGTGGGAGCGTGGCCTAAGGTCACAGCAACTTGAAGGAAAGACTGACACCCGTGATGGCTGCCTCTGGTAGGACAGGAGCCTGTGCCCTGGGCAGATATAGGGCCAGCACTCTGAGCACAGGTAAGCATTTTAGGTGCTAAAGTTTCCACTGCCACTGGAAATTCAGCACTCCAGGGCCTTCATAAAGTGTGTTATTCCTGCAATGGAGGTGGCTTTGGGAGTCAGGAAATGGGGTTCTTGTTGGGATTTTCCCACGAATTCACTGTATACCCTAGGTTAAGTCAAAGTGAGGCTGTAGTTCCAATATCTAGAAAATAGCTCCCAGAGTCCATTTCAGTGTTGAATGTTACATGGGATTTATTCTCAAGAATATATTTTATTATGTTAAATTCAATCTTATTTCTTAAGGGATGCAAATGTTACTGCCATAAAAGGGTACTTTCTCTGTCAACATTGCAATGAACAGAGGCTCAGTGTGCTGTTCCGATAACTGGAACAGGAGCATCGTGGAGAATCTAGTAACAATATCATTCTTTTTTCCTCTGCCCTTCTTTGTAGCCAAAGTTTAGTTCTGACATTTAAGAACACAAAGCCTTGATGGTACTGGGGCTGACATTATTTTCATCAGGGGACTTACAGCTCGGACGGCGAGGATGTCCCCAACAGAAAGCCATTTCAGGATGTGAAAGAGCACATCTTCGGGGAGATTCAAGATGGTTAGGTTTCGGGGCCTTCTTCTTATTCTTCGCTTTGTGGGATAACAGAAACACTTCGCACACCTACAGTGGACGACTTAAGAAAAAAAACCCAGAAGTCTCAATAAGCTTAAAAGGTATATCTGAAGATGATCTAATGGTTACTATCCCCTGCTCCACAAAAGAGGAACTGACTATATTTCTAGTCCTGAACAAAATAAAGGAGTAGCATTATACACATTATAGAAGACATCACCATTTGTTTAAATATTCATCAAATATTTATGGTGAATAGTAAGTATAACATAACTTGGCTATTGGGAAACTTTCTGATCTAGAGCCCCTGTGACAACCAGGAAGTAGGAAAAGTGGTCAATGCTAAGGACAGTTTTCCTGGCACTTCACTCTCAGGAAAGCCCCCTGGACCCTCATTGGATATCTTCGCTTTTTTTTGTACATATAACCAAAATGCATAATGTCCAATAAGAATCCGTGGGCTTAGAAGGCTCTGGTTTTCAAGTCCAAATTAGGAGGGTCAGCCTTGTAGAGAAGCAACAGACTTGGAGGCCAAGTCAGTCCATGTCTAAGTCTCAACCCTGCAGAGCTACCCAGTCCCTGAGTCTGTGTTCTCCACTGTAAAATGGAGAGTTGACAGCTACCCCTCAAGGCTGTTGTTCAGATCCCAACATTAACCTAGACCTACACAGATGCAGTCATTAAAAGTGAGACAAGTTCTCATCCCACCAGGCAGGCGAGCCCTACTGTGCTTCTCAGGTTCACTTTCTTCCCACAGTGGGTCTCTCTAGCTTCTACTCCAGCAATCCCCTCCTCATTCTAAGCAGATGGCTTTACCCCTTTTTCATAGAAAACTAGAAGCCCTCTGACAGAAACCTCAAAATCCTGCCTCCCTACAAGTTTACCTTGCTACCCATATTTTCTTTCAGTCCTGAAACAAAACTCCTCTCCTCTCTATCCACATGAATCCCTCCCCAGGACTTCCCTAGCGATTACCCCTTCCTCCTTCCCTTTGCCTGGGTCTTCCTGTTGGCAATTAATCAGGAGCAAAAGCCAAACTAATTCCCAAAGATTATCTGGACTTCACCGTAAAATATTCCTCATTCTCTTGCTCTAAGACAGACACTTGGGAAAGTTTAATCATCGCTATAATAGCAACTGAAATCCCTCAAAACGTGCCAACCCCGTACGATGCTTTGATACGGAGTACATCCCACTGGCCGCACTTGACAGATGGATGACCTGTCAGGTCTGGGCTGGGCCGGCGAGCATGGGGACGCCCAGGTGAACTTGCCGCAGGGGTGCGGACAAACAGGAGGCAGGTGTGAGCTGACGGGTCGCTTTATCCCTCCATACGCTCAGTAAACGCCCGATTCCGGACAAGAGAAGCCATCGTGGTTTGCGCCACAAGTAACCTGAGTCGGTGCCTTCCCGGGAACAGGGCAGGGAAACGCCGCAGCGAGGGTGGAGGCGCCTCGAGGGGGCGCGGGCACCCGCCGGGCATTTAAACTGCGCGCCCCAGGACTCAGTGGGCTGGGCGCTGAGGGCTCTCCATCCTCTGGTTAAAGGGGTCGAGCCCGCTCTCCTCA